CACATGTCTATGAGCCAGAAAACTTACTGCAGTACACAAATTAAAGCATACAAAGTTCATACCTTTGAACCATGTCAACTCATTTCTCCTCAAACTCTTGGGTGTATTGTGAATCATAAATGCAGTCATGTATAACATCCAATATTTCATCTTTTTGTGCATCCCCTCCGAGTTTTTCGGGTACCTTTTTCATGATGTGCCATAAACACCATCGGTGGTTCGTGTTTGGGAAAACAATTGCAATGGCGTTTTGCATAGCACGATCTTGGTCGGTAATAATCCCAATTGGAGCAATGCCATCCATACATTCAAGCCATGCTTTAAACAACCACACAAAGGTTTGTGTATCTTCATTAGAGACTAATCCACATCCTAGTAGCATTGATTGTCCGTGATGATTTACGCCGACAAATGGTGCAAATGGCATCTCATACCGATTTGTAAGGTAGGTCGTGTCAAACGTTATGACATCTCCAAATTCTTTGTACGCATATCTACACCTATTGTCGGCCCAAAAGACATTACGCAATCTTGACTCCTCATCTAAGTCAAGTGCAAAGAAAAATCCGGGGCATTGGGCTTGCATTTTAGCGAAGAACCCTTGAATGGCAATTGCATCGCCACTACCTAACCTAAGTTTTCTAACTTTATCTATATAGTTCCTACAATCTTTTTCAATGAAGGGAAGTTGATCATACCCACCGGCCTCAACAACGGCCGCGGTGAAGCTTTTATTAAGTCGTATTCCCGCAATATCATTTATTGCAAGTTTCCTCGCCATTCCATGAGTTAACCTCCGATTGCATCGGAATAGGCGAGCCTTTGTTGGACTCATAGGATGTGAATGTTGTAAAAAGACTTTTGAAATTTGCCAAAGTCCCGCATAATTTACATGCGCTCGTAGTCTAGCTTCACACCCTATTTGCATTGAAGGTTGGGGCTTCAATTGATTTTTTGACTGACTACATCTCCGACCAGCCCGCGAACATTCTAGTAGAACTGACACAATGTGTTCTCCTCGTTTGTCTTTAGTTGTGCTCCTAGTTCTTATAGGAAATCCCAAACGCTTCCCATATGCTTTGTAAAAATCATAGACTGCTTCTCTACTTTCAAACTCCATACCAACTTCCGGATCTTGACCAACTTCATTCTCTTTTGGCAGACCTTCTCCATCTGTCATGTTACATGATTCATATATTAATGTGTTCTAACCAACTTACGATATCACACAGGCAGTGATATATGCACACAGACAATTCAAATCTTTCACAGACTAGTTCTAATACTACACAAACAAATCTTCCATTGTCTACATACACAAACAAACACACACATAAACAAGTGACAGCTCCTACGACTTGCATGTGTCACCAAACATATGCATGCGTTCAAAACAAGACAGGGGCTACACACACACACTGATATTTGCACACACGGACAATTCATATGTGTCACAGACACGTTGAATACTACACATACAAACATGTTTATGACATTCTGCATACACTAACAACAACCCACATAAACAAGCATAAACCCACTAAAACCCACATAAACTTCACAAATTAACACATAAACAACTTCCACCTCTAACAACATGCCTATGAGAGTAAATGTATTTCAACGTTCAAGAAGATTAAGTCACTATACCAAGGTCAGAAACGACGTCCATGGCCGCCGGCGACGTCAGCCCTTCATCTACTCCGGCTAGGTCCGTCTGATCGTCATCTTCTCCGGCTCCAAGAGTGCGTCCAACACCACCTCCAACTCCGGCCTTATCTCCAGACCCCTCTCCGCCTCCGTCCGTCATCCTGTCACCTTCTCCAGCTCCGGCCGTCTGTCCTTCAATTTCTCCAGCTCCGGAAGACATCCCAACTTCACCACCTCTGGGATTCTCATTCCACGAAGCCCAAAAATCGTCGAAGTTAGTCGCCAACGTGTCGTCATACGGAAAATCCATCGAAGAGGAAGCTTGTTTGTGAAGGTCGATGAAGGTGGAAGCTTGTTTCTTGAATTTGTTGAAGGCACGCAGAGAAAGGAGGGGGAACGAGTGAGAGTGGGTCGGTGGGGGTGTGAGGTGAGGGAAAAGAGGGCGGTAATTTTTTTGGGTTTAAGTAGGGTGTACATGGTGTGTACACATGTGTGTACAAAGAGCAATTTTGTTCATCACCACCCACTCATCATTTTAATTCTTCCACATCTCACCACCCACCACATATTCTAACAGCCCACCACCGGCATATTCTACCCTGTTCATTTCGGCTTGCTCGTCTATCAGTGTAGCCGATTTCATCAATCGTTACCTAATTTGTTCCCCATCATCTTCATCTGTTATTTATTTTTCAAATTTCTTGTTTAATTTTTACGAAACAGAGGACACAGATGACAACGATGTTGATTTTGTTCTGCTTACTACCCTCGAGCTACAACCTAGGATTGTGATCCTGGATACTCTGCCAAATATTCTTACAGGCAGTAGGGCTGGTGGTTTAAGATCAACAAGAATATCTCCCGACGAAATAGGTGTCTTATCTGTCCATGCTGCGTTTATTTTCTGGGGAAGAAGACCACTTGAAGTTTTCTGTTCGTATTTGTGTTTTTTTCCGGTGAAGGAGGTCGCATTAAGGAGGTGGCGTTTATTTTCCGGTGAAGAAGATGGCGTTTGTTTCCCAGCGAAGAAGGCCAGTTAGCATTTGCCGGCCATACAGTAAAATGTACTGTAGCACTTTATGTATGGTATAGAGTACAGACTGTTGTTCATATCTGTGTACTGAAGGGCAAAAGAGGAAAGTAAAGCCTTTTCCCTTTGCTTCTTAATCTATGTGCCGAGTGCTATGTTGCACTTATTACCGAACATAGGAAGTATAACTAAATTTATACATATATACTAACATATTTTTCAAAATTCTAGGTGTTCATGAGAACAACTTTGAACTAAAGTGGCTCCGCCACTGGCTTATGCTCAAATAAATAAAAAGGACATGTAATTTTTTTTTAAATTAAGTCGGATTTTAGGACTTAAGTTGGGTTCACATCGAATGTTTGCGTTTTTTGAATTACTCCCTCCGTCCTGGAAATAAGTTCCCACATTCGTTATTTGGATGTCCCAAAATAAACTTCTCACTTCCTTATTTGACAATTTATCTACATCAATTGCAAAACAGTGCAAAACAGTGTCAAACAGTGTTGAAACAATATCAAAACAATAAAATTTAGGGGAATTTTGAGTTTGCACCCCACTTTTTGGGTGATATTGAACTTTGCACCCCATTTTTAAAACTCTTGGACTTTGCACCCTATCTACAACATTTTGTGAAGAAGGATTGTTGGATGGGGTGCAAAGGCAAATGCATTTTAGAAGAAATAGGGTGCAGAGTCTAAGAGTTTTGAAAATGGGGTGCAAAGTCAAATATCACCCAAAAAGCGGGGTGCAAACTCAAAATATCCCTAAAATTTACCCCTCAATAACTTTATTTTCTTAAGAGTCTAAAAGGTGTGAAAGTCAACCGGAACTTGTTTCCGGGACGGAGGGAGTATAATTTTTCATAAAAAAATTGAAAATGTATTGACAACGTTGAGTTACAGAAAAGACTGAATTAATTGGGTGAATATGTATAAAGTGGTGGAAATTTTGATTTATTGACTGAGTGAAGATGTTTTCTTTTGGACTAAAATTTACTAGTGTGGTCTGGTCTAGTCTGAAGTGGTCTGGTTTAGTCCGGTCTGGTTTGGTAAATGTGTGATCTCTGTTTATTTTATAACTATAGAGGTCTAGTCTGATCTGGAACTGAAAACAGTCCAAAAGAAAACATCCTAAGTTGCGGTTAGCCTAATGTAGTGATGTTTAATGCGGTATAAAAAACACTGTATCCTCTTCGTTATATACGTAGTATGTTTTAATTGCATGTGGTGTAAATTAGTTTATATATGTCTTCATTTTAACGTCACTCTGTTTACTTCTGTTAGTGGGTGGCTAAAATGCTTATTAATCTTCATTTTAAATGTTATTTACACCCAAAATTAGGTTAGTGTCATATTTGCACTTTTAGGCATACCATAGTGACTAATTTGCTCTTTAACCCAAATTTTTTTAATGGACTACTACGAGAAGTTATGTATCACAAAGGGGTTAATTAACTCATTGATCTGAACCCCATACTTAATTTTTCTCAAAATAAATATTACTAAATATGTTTTGTTTCATATTACCTTTTTCATTATATTAACATTTAACTTCAATCACACATGTTTTTGTAGCGTAAAAAGTTAAATTACGAGTTAGTAGCGGGACAGAGAAAATATGAAACACAACAAATAAAAGAATTAATCTGAGGAATTTGACATTGATAAATCTTCTAAAAATAAAAACATGACTATTTTTTTTATTTCTAGGACGAGAGGGATCTTTATTATCTCCTTGAACAAAAAAGTAGAATCACATGAAATGCCCATGATATGATGATTTAGACGTAACAGACAATAATTAAAGAATGATTAAAGGTTGCACATTATTAATTGCGAGTTTGTACGATTCTTTAAACTTTTAATTATTAGCATATATAAGCAACTAATTAAGACAGCTCAATCCCAGAAATATACTTTATTTAGAAACTTCTTAGCGCTTGCCATCATTTCAATTTTTTTGGAGCGCATTGGAAATTAAATCCAGAAACTGCATATTCTCATTTTCGGACCATTTATATAAGTAATTTGAAGACTTTAGGGCTGTTTCCTTTTTTCCTCTATAAAGTCCTTTCTGGATAAAATTTTTGTCTGTATGGATCAAGTGATGTTTATGTATGAAGCTCCATCTTTATTTTATGTGCTGAATTAACCATCTGATCGAATAGAGTAAATTAGTCACTTTAATATTATTGTTGAGTTATTATGACAATTTTTTTTATCATTGAGTTATTATGACAATGAATAATTCGATTTATTAACATATACTTAGTATATATCTATTTCATATTAGGTATAAAAGTTTGACTGAATAGACATCTTAATGAGCATCTTAATGGGAAATAGTGTCTTTTCACAACTTATGACTAAGTCGGTTTTTTGACTGAATATGATCAGTTTGTAATGGAAGTAGCAGACTCCGGTTGTGGGGGCATATTCCGGCGGTGGCGCAGTTTTCCAACGACGACAGTGTTGGTTTTCCGGCAGATTGGCAGAGAATTTTAGGGAAAAAATCCGGCTACCTAGCAACATAGGGGCAACAATGTTAAATGTTGGGATTGGAAAATTCTTATATTCAATATCAAGAACAGAATTACAATAGGAGGAGCAAACTTTCACACTAAACTATTACAAAAAATCAATTATCACCAATACACTTCTACCCTAAGTGTATTTCACTCTTCACACACTTTTCTCATTTTCTAAAACTGATACAAATGAACAACAATACACTCTCTGATCTATTTATAGGTGTATATGGGAGACGTGAGGAAGTTGCATCCACGCTTCCATTCCCATTGCTATGGAGTTTCCTAGCTATCTCCAAGAAATCTTTTCCCATGTTCATTTGTAGGATAGCTCCTTCCTAGAAGGTGTGAGATGCGTCTTGGCAACTTCCAAGAAAAAGGTGGAAATTCCCTACACTAAAGCCCTACGAGGCGATTTTGATCCAATCACAAAAATAGTCATATTTATGGAATTTAATTAAGATTAGTATGTCCTATTTTTTAAAACAAAAAACTATATTTCAGTCCTATTTGAGGACTTTCTCCCTAATAAATATACACCATCGCCGTATGAAAACATGTATGAGACCTGGCAAATGATGAATGCGGCATGTTCATTCCAAATTTCCAATAGTATACAAACATGCATCTAATTTAATTCAATTACCAGAGGAGATCAAATACATGAATTCGCCATAATCATCGTCTCACCTACTAGTTTTTATCTTCACTACAACGTGTTTGATTCGAGGGCTTTAATTTGAACAAGGCAAGAACAATTTCTCATTTATGATTTCCTATATGGCTATATTCCTATACTATTGGGAAATGAGTAAATTCAAGATATAGTTTGATTTTTTTTTAATCGAACTAGTTTAGAGTGATTTCTAGTATTATATATTTAGGGTCTGATGTGGTCTACATTATATAAATCTGGTCTAATTTGTTATTTTGTTGTAACTCGAGAATGGAATCAATTCATCCTAATAACACTCTCAGCAAAATGGAGAATCCGGATAATTTGAATTTTAATCAAATTAATAGGAAATAGACTAAGCTTTTCTAAAAAGATTACACGTTATATATGAAGTGTAACAAAAATGGATGTTACTCTAAATTTCGACATGGTAAAGTGTGTATCGATCCCTCCATCATTACATCCGTTTATAATGTTGTGAGAAATTGGAAATCACCAAATTATAATAAAGAAAACATAATCGATTTCTCTAAACATGACTAATAAAATACTAGTATATGATGAGTAAAGGAAAGCCGAATTGGGAGGGATGCTAGAAATAGCCTCCTACGAAGGAAAGGTAAAAAGAAGCTCGAGAACTAGTGTTAGCTGTGGAACTAGGGAAAAAAATCTTTTCAAAAATGTTACTCCGTATAACTTTTTTTACTCAAAAAATATACTAGTATATATCAAATCCATTGCTCCATATTTTTTATGTTCAACACCAATATCTAATATATAAAGTTTTGAAAAAATGAAGTTTCTAACAGCTGGAGTTTTTAAGTCTAAAAAAACGTGAAACACAAATTTTTAATTTATTATGCCTCCACAAGTGACCGAAATCTATTTGAACCCATTTTATTATTTATTAACCAAGAAAAGTAAAAAAAATGTTATAATTATAAATATAATTATATAATTTTAAATTTTATAATTATTAAAAAAAACTCAAAGAAAAACTTTATTTTACTAATTTGACAGGAAACAAATATGTTGACGTGCACAGTGATACAGGTAATCTTACCCTCCTCGTTAATGCCCCTGTCCATCAACGTAAATTAAAGCACTACCCCATCTCTACAAGTCCGCACCACATGGTCTATTGCCTTCCATCAATTGTACTTTCTTCCCTCAAAGGTACTTTTGAGTAAATAATTTAATGAGAACAACAACAAAAATGGCTAAATTGGTCTTTCTTAGTCAATGATGATCAAGTTTGACCAATGATGTTTTCTAATTCAAAATTATTTAAAATATAAACATTATATGAACATATTCTTTATATATATAAAATCTTCCATAAAAGTATAAAATTTATAAACTACACACAAATATAATACCAAAAATCGTTGTCTGAATTTTAATATTATTGACCAAGAAAAGTCAAATTGATCAATCTTTTTGGAATGGAAGAGGTATTTATTTACGAGTTAATTGAAAGTATGACTTAATCACCCAGTCCAAAAAATTAAATGATTCAATCATTAAATCAGAAAATAATAGTCACTCATTAAGATGTCTTTTCTGTCAAATTTTTAGGAATGATTTATGTCGATAAATGAAATTATCATTGACAATTATAACCCAAAAATAATATTAAATTGATTAGAAATAATTACATATTTATAACAAAACTAAAGTTTGTTTACAAAAATGATGACTAATGACTGAAGTAGTAATATAATCATAGTAACTAATTATGTTTCATTTTTAAACTTAAGTTACAATGACACTACATTGTAGTAACTACATTATAGTAACTATTAGTCATATTTGTGTAAATAAATTTTATTTTAGTAATGCGTTTGAAAACCCTCAATTGATTATCTTAGTTAATTCAGACTATTTATTAAACACAAAAAATAAACAACCTCATAATCCAGATGTGACTTGATAGAAAAAAAAAGTAAGACTATCAAACCACAGTTCACTAACACCAATGGTCTAACCGGTCCAATTAATAATCGGGCACTTTTGGTGACCCCGAGCTTGTCAACTCACGTCTACAAGGCTTTGAACTGAACGGCCCATCAATATCAGTTCCGGCCCAGTAAGGATGTTTTTACGTGGACTATTTTCAATCACGCATTAGATCAGACCAGATCAGACAAGATCAGATCAGACCAGACATGTATAGTTATAAAATACACAGACACCAGACATTTACCAGACCAGATCAGACCGTTTCAGGTCAGACCAGAGCAGAAAATTCTTGTCCAAGTAAAAACATCTTAAGCCAACATAAGGTATAATATATTATAATCATATATAGGGAAAATAAAAAGTAAATAAATACTCCGTACTACGTATGCCGGCCTTAATTAGTGTATGAACTATGAATATGTAATATAGACCGGGATATAATTATGCATGTGATACGAAGGTCAACCCTAACCCTTTATGTTAGCTGTGGGTCCATGCTAGTTTAAAGTATATCCAGAGCAATTTAATATTGAATTAAACTATAAGTGATGTAAATAAAGTAATAAGGAGATGGAGGTAGGTGTTGTTTCAGGTGGGTAAATAGGAACGTACGTACGTAAAGAGCGCATGTGGAAGCACATGCATGGATGCAGTGGCCTGGCGGCATGTGAGGAGGAGGAAGGTGAGACGACAGGGAAGCAGCATCAAATGTACCCCATGTTCTGCACATTCCCTGCATCCCCTCTCTACCTTCTACTCTTCAATTCACCCCTCTTTCCTTTCTTTTTTATTATCATTGTAGCTTAGCCTCAAAATATCTTATTTCCTTACCATTCAATCATAAGTTCTTTTTCTAATTTAAATGAAATGTAAAACAGACCCGCACGGGTAGCTTAGTTGGTCGAGTGGTGGGAAATTTGGAACAATAGTTCAAGGTTCGAAACATGCAACGGCCGTGTGGAGGTTACAGCTCCTGGGTGTTGGCAAAGAAGATGCAATTTTTTAAATATTATGCCAAAGTGACACTGTTTTGAGATGAGCGCAACTTTCACACAATTTGAGCCGATCCCATGATACAATTTGAAACAAAATCTAACTGGTTCTAATCTGAGGTCAGAAATGGTGGAAGTGTGGCGCAACCCAGATCTAATTAATTAGCCTATATATGGGCTGAAGTGTAAGAGTTTCGGTCTTGATCTAACCATCTAACCAAACCATTTTAGAATCATCAAAAAGACATGGGCCGGTCCTGGAGTGTGCAAATATGCAATGGGGCATCTGTTCACTCACTCCATTGTTTTCATAATTCCCTCAACTTTTTCAATTTCATAAGAGTATATTAAAATAATTAATAGTGTTAGAGGCCGTTTGGCAACACTATTTTTCGTCTTATCAGCCAACTTTTTCACCAAACACGTAATTTTTGCTTTCGCGCGCGCTGAATTGTGTAATAAGCAGAAAAAGTAAGGTCGAAGTTACTTTTCTGGCTGTATTGGCTGAAGTTACTGTAGATGACTATTTTAGCTATATTTACATATAATTGTTTCTTTATTTTATTAATAAAATATATTTTAATTTTTTTTCTTAAATCAGCAGAATCAACCAATGCAGTCACTTCAGCCAGAACTTCATAAATTTCAACAGAATCAGCCAAAACAGCCGATTTTCGTGCTATCAAACGGGCTCTTAGTCAGACTTTCCTCATGCTTTTGTTCTGGGACTATATATACATTTTTTTATAAATCCTTCTAAACCTTTATATAGTATCTGCTCAAAGAACAACTTGTACTACGGTTATACACACTAATTTCCTAACAAGAATTAAATTTGGTGAACCTCTTTTTCAGCTTATCTAGCTTATCAATCAAATTTTTTATCAAAGGAGTAACTTTTGATTTCACGTAATGATATGTAATAATAAGAAAAAATAAGATTGAAGTCACTTTTCAAGCTGTATTGACTAAAGTTACTGTAGAAGAACATTTTAGTTATTGTTTCATATAATTTTTTTCTTTAATTTATAAATAAGAAATATTTTAAATATTAGTTTTTCATAAATCAGCAAAATGAGTCAACAATTTCATATAATTTAGTTTAGCTATTGTTTCATAAATTTGAACAATTTCCGTCGATGCAGTCATTTTTTGTGTTACCAAAGAGGCTCTAAAATGACCGGGAACTGACTCAGAATGAATAGATGTACATGCACTCAGTGATTAGTTCGGTTCTAGTTCAATTTCTTGCATCATGACACTTGAATTAACTAGACTGAATTAGATGAGTCTCAACCCATCTCCGACTCCAGTCTCCTTCAAACAAAGTTCTAGATATGTATGTAGCCAGCTAGTGGAATACATACCTTACTATGTCTTTATCTTCAATTAATCTGTTCCAAAACATTTTTATTTCTCTTTTTGAAATTTTCCATTAATGAATGTAGGTTGTCCGCAGGGGCGGACCGTAGTACAGACCCAGGGGGGCTACCGCCCCTCCAACAATAAATTTTTTTAGTGTATATATATACGAAAAATAATTTTCGCCCCCTAAAGAATTTTTTTGTTTGACCTACCGCCCTCCCAAGATGAATTTCCTGGGTCCGCCCCTGGCTGTCCGAAGATTTCCAAAACCTTTTTTACTCCTATTTTTGGAATTTTCCATTAATCTAGGTAGAGTACGTGAAGATAGACGTGATCTGAGCTATTCTAATTTCTACTCCCTCCTCCGTTCAATTTTACATGTTCTATTTTTCTTTTTTAAAATTTTCCAAAATAAGTGTCATATTTATTTGTTTGGAAAGAAATATGTGGTTTACAACATTTCATTTTATTATAGTTAAATCCCAACCACAATTTTTAATTTTTCAACAATTTTATCAATAATTGTGTCAAATCAAAGTAGGCTATATAAAATGGGACGATAGTAATAGATTATGAAGGACTTAATTGGCCGATTAATATATGTGAGAATGTAATTAAGATGTCTGAAAATACACGTGAGTTGTGGTTATTTAAAACTAGACTAATCAATAAATTAAATTAAATCACATGGATGCATGTGATCGGTTAGCAAACAAAAAATACGGCATGTGTGGTACGTGTGATCGATCTTCATAACGTGATTCCACCGGGGACGACTAAATCTGGGAGTCCAACCCTTCACAATGCAAATGGTCAACTGCCCCTTTGCTTCACAGCCTTGCATTGTCTTTCTCACCCAAACACAATACGTGAATTTACGTACACAATCACACAATACGGCATGAGTGTATTCATACATATGACTATGATGGGCATTGGGCACGGCCCGGGTGCCCGGGTAGGGCGGATAACGTATAATTTTCGAAGAATAGCCGGTTTCACTATTCGGCCTGTTTGAAACGTGTCGATCCGATTCGAATCTTTTGGCTTCTGTCTCAGGTGAAATTCTATGGACATAATATATACTCCGTATCCTTTATGAAGAACATCCTAACAAAATTTCATCAAATAATTAGTCACAGAAGCCCACTCAAACGAGCTTGTCTATACATGTCATCTTGTTAGGCGCGTTTGACCATATTATTTCTCTATACTAGATACTCCGTAAAATTGATAATATTGTTTTCTTATTAACACTTTTACTTCTAAGAATGCCCAAAGAAATTGTTTGGTATGACTTGTGATACCGAGTAGTTCTATGGACAAAAACGTTTACTTGCCTAACGAATTATTTTTGACAATGAAATTTTTGAATTTTTTGTATTGCATTCTTATAGCATGTGTAATTAGGGATCTGTTTTTTTGCCTTTTATCCCGGACCTATAAATTGTTGGGGCCGGCCCTGCGTTTCACTTTTAGCTTCTTAATATTTGTTGCTTTATTGCGATTAAATATTTGGTAGTTCAATATATATGTAGTACGAGTATTATAATTTATGTGCCAACGATTTAATGGTGAAGCGCGATAATGATTAAAAATATTTTTATTATTTAACAGTTAACTCTTAACATACAAGAGTTGAATCAAAATGATGTTCTCTGTTCTTATACCGGTTATTCAAAAAAAAATTGTTGTACCAAACCGATATTGGATTAATGGTTCTTTAAATGATTCCTATTTTTTTTCAATGAATCAAACCGATTACCAATCTCACCCCTATTTGTTTCTTCATAAGATGATAAGTAAAGATAAATAAATAAAGCATTTTTAACTTATATTTAATTTTATCTTGTGTAAGAATATTTATGTACAATTTCCTTGTTCGGATTTTATTTATCATAAAATGCACCTAAACTTTTAATATTCACGAGCTTAAAAAATTATCATTAATCTCTTAGACAATACCCTCCTAACCCCATAAGTCGCTAGGTTTTTGTATTAAGCGATAGCACATGCGCTTATGCTCTAAAAAAGATTTACTACAAAGATTATGAAAAAAGGGTATCTCATAGGATTAGTAGTAATAGAAGTTGATAGTTTGAAAACCCATTTGATTTTAAAAATGTAAAAGTTGGAAGGTTTGATAATGAAAAGGTATTGGTAAAAATTGATATATAGAGAATGAATAAGTCATTTTAAACACCTCACGCCATTAGCTTCAAAATACTATCTACTTAAATACGAAAAGTAGTAGTTAAACTTATCATAAAAACAAAAATAGCACAATACTTTTTGGAATGAATTGCATACATTCCTAATGAAACATTCAGTGCAGCTAGCCTAAAGGTAGACCTAGTCCTAATTCTAGAATCAAACCAGAAAAGAGGCTGGTCAATTAAATCCGCCGGATACCTAAAAAATGTAGTATGAGTCGTCCAACTCTAGTATCGGTTCTTTTTTAGAATGGATAGAAAACAGTCTTCAAACTAACCAAAAGTCATACTGGTTTGATTAGGTATAGATCCGGTGAGGTGGTTCGGGCCAGAATCAGGTCCAACATTGTTTGGAACCAAACCAGGTTCATTCAGAGGCGTTCCGGGCCTGAGACCAGACTGGTCCACCCTAGAGCGGTTCACAGTCCCAGTTTATAATTTTGATCCCAACTCAGATGTCTTTTTGCTTCAGTCCGACTAAAAAATGAAAAAAAATCAAACGGAACGAAGTCCCATAACAGACCAGACCGGCCGGGTCCTAGTGGTCTACCCGGTTCGGGCCGCCCGGGGCTCGTTACTGTGTGGGCCCGGAACCGGCCCGGTTCACAGGTCCGGGTCGGGTTCGGGAACCGAACCGGTGGGGGTGGCGGGTCCGGGCTCGGGGCTTGTTTTTGGCGGCCCGACCCGGCCGGGCCCGACCGGGTCTTGACCCACTTCCCAAACAGCTATATAGCCATTGGGTGGGTACCAGGGGGGTTCGGGGCCTTTGGGGGATGGGGGGGATGGGGTGGGGGTGGGGGTTAAAAAAAACCCTATAAATACTCCTAATTTTAAACATTTTTTCACACCTCTTCTCCAACTCTTCCTAAATTCTACTCTCTGCTCATCTCCATATTCATCTTCTCAAATTCTCTTATTCTCCATTATATTTTATTTTACTATTTAATACTTATACAATTATTATATCTACTTATATATATTAATTATCTACTTATAAATACATATACTATATTACTTATATTTCTTATCTACTTAATCTCTACTTATATCTCTTAATACATACATACATACTACATCTACTTAATATATACTTTATATATTAAAGTATTAAATATACTTTATAAACTATTAGTATATACTTAATACATAATAATA